TGCCTGTCCCAGGTGGCTGGGATGAGGCACAGGCCTGGCTGCATCCCAGGGAGTGGGCGTGGGACACTGCTCCTCGAGTTCTGCAGGCCGGTGACCTTTACTGCCAGGGAGACCCCTTCAGAGCCTGCAGGAGGCCCCTGAGGGGCTGCATAGCTGAGGGGTCCCTTGGTCCCTTCCCTGTGCCCAGAGCCGGTGGGGGGGGTGGCAGGAGGGGAGTTTTCAATTATGGAGCCGCTAATCGCCGGCGAGGGCCGATCTGGGGCCCGGTAAATCTCTTATGAAAAGCCTATAAATGTATGTAAAACCGGCCTCCGACAATCCAGGGATTAGGCCTCCGGGAGGGGAAACCGAGGCGAGGGCTGGCTGGAGGATTAGCCAAGCTAGGCTCCTGAGGGTGGCAGGCAGTGGCCCCCAGGGGCCCTGGGCCAGAACCAGGAAGACTTTGTATTGCAGAAGCTGGCACCCATTTTATAGCTAGGGAAACTGAGGCCTGAACAGGTCAGGAGTTCCAGGCCTTCCCAGGGGTCCTGTAATGGGGTGGACTTGGGCCATGTCCACTGCCTGCCACCTCCTTCCCAAAGATGAGGGTGAGCTCCACAGACTCGAAGGACAGTAGTCTATGCCAACAGCCCAGCCCTGGCCAGTGCGAATGCCCCAGGAGAGTGGGAGGCCCCTGGGTGCTGATCTTGGGGTCCCAGAATCCTGTTTAATCCCTGTGACCCACCCTATACTTTCTGCCTGAGTTTTGGGAAGATAATTTTTTTTTCAGATACTAGGAATGGAACCCAGGGCCTTCACACTGAGCTACACCCCCAGCCCTTTTTATTTTGTATTTTGAGACAGGATCCAGCCAGGTGGCCCAGGCTAGTCTCAAACTTGTGATCCTCCTGCCTCAGCCTTCAGAGTAGCAGGAAAATAGGCATGTGTCACTGTGCTTAGTCCCCAAAGAGGGATTTTTAAACCCCAGGCATGCTAGCTCGTGCCTGTAATCCCAGCACTGAGAGGTTGAGGCAGGAGGAATGCTACAAGTTTGAGGCCAGTCTGGGCTACAGAGTGAGTTCAGGGGCAGCCTGAACTATACAGTTTGTCCCTGTCCCCACCTGCAGAAACCCCCCAGCACCCAGGTGCCCAGGTGCCCAGGGAGGAGGAGAGAGGACCCTCCATCTATGCCTCCCATGGAGGTCAGGGCTGCTCCCTAGAGCGCTGGACGGCTGGAGAAACTGAGGCACGAAGTAAGTAGTGCTTTCTATCAGCCTCAGGGTGCATCCAAAGGCACCTTTGGGGCGGCCCCGTTTGCCCCCCTCCAGCCACCTGTGCAGACCCAAAGCCCAGGTGCACGGGAAAATGAGGAGGAGACGAGAGATTTCTCGTCCCCCAGTTCCTCCAAATCCCAGGTGCGGTTGCATAGCCGGATTCCATGACTCAGTTTCCCCATTGTGATCACCAGAAAAGACTGGCTGCTGTCCCCGTGCTGGGCTGGAGTGGGGGGCCTGGGGGCATCAGGGGGCTCCGAGCACCCCTCCCCGCCCTGCCGTCAGTCAGGCCCGCCGGGGCCCCCTTTAAAGTCGTCACGGCCCAGCAGCGGCCGCGGGAGGGATTATTCCGGCCTGTCCAGGGTGGACTCAAGTGGAACCGAGGCTGACGAGCGGAACGCGCCCCCGCGGGCCCGGTCTGCCGCCTTTGTCGGCTCCGTCACGGCCGCCGCCTCCCCGTCTCCCCAGCCCGAAGCTTTGTGCAGCTCGGGCCCGGCCACTCGGCCGTGGCCCACAGCTCGGCGGCTGCCCGGCCATGAGGTCGCTGCTCTGGCCCTCTCTGGGCCTCAGTTTCCCTGTCTGCAGCATGGGCATGCCGTTTTGGCCCCCTGGCTGGATCGCTGGAGAGGTGGATGGATGGCACATGGACGTGACTGTCCCTGGCTGCTTCTGCGTTCCCAGGGGCCCTGGGCCCGTCATTCCGCCAAGCTTTGTCCAGGAAATTCGAGGTGGCAGGGAGAACGGATCCGCTCTCAGCCTGAATGGAGCCGAGGTAAATGCTGTTGACCCCTGACCCTGGCCCCCTAATCCCAGGGTTGAGACTCTCAGCAGAGAGGGGTCCCAAGAGAAGAGCTGGGGCACGACCCCCGCCCCTGGCGCCAAGGGGGGCTTCCGGGTCAGCATCGCAGCAGCTTCCGGGGAACACGGCTGTCCCCTTGGCCACGTGCCTGGTCACCACCCCAGGGAGGCTGGCCCGGGAAGCTCCACATTCCTTGGGACCAATCCAGGCCCTGCCAACTGCAGCCGACAGGAACTCAGAGAAGTCAGTCTGCTCCTCAAGGGAGGCACAGCAGACATCCAGCTTCTAATTGCTGTGGGTCTGTGTCCCCGGGAGACCCTCAGTGGACAGGGAGTATGGGCAGGGGGCTTTTCATCCCGACCATCACGCCTGCTCTAGATTCCTCCATAGCTCCCACTGTCTTCAAGACACTTTATCTCCCCTGGAAAAAGCCTCAGAAGCAGGCCGCACCTGTCATCTCAGCACTCTGGAAAGCTGTGGCAGGAGGTTCACAAATTTAAACCCCGCCTGGGCAATTTTGTAATTTAGCAAAAGCCTGCATTAGTCAGTTGTGGTGGATTTGGGAGGCTGCAGAAGGATCGCCTCAAATTTGAGGCCAGCCCAGGTTATGTAGTGAGTTCAAGGACAGCCTGAACTACGTAGTTTTTTGAGATCCTGTCTCAAAAATAAGAAAGAGCCGCATGTGGTGGTGCACGCCTCTCTCTGGCTGCAGACGAGCCTCGAGGATTAACATCAGGGTGGCCGCGTGGCATTGCCCTGCGAGTGCTCGAGGAAGAACGAATGAGTGTGGTGGCGATGCTGCCCTCCCTCTGCCACTGGCAGCGACTTGGCCCCTTTGCTTTCGGAGTCCACGGAGGCCACACTGGCAGAAGCTTCCATGCGGATTAAACGATTCTCCCCCGCAGGCACAGGCGGGATGCGTTCGCATGCTCTGGCGCCCCGCGCTCCCCAGCGGCCGCGTGTCTGTTCCACCCTGCCGAGCTGTTCCCCACGATCAATTTCAATTTGGCCGGGGCTCTGCCTCTGCAGCCCAGGTCTCCTTGGGGGCTCTGGCTGGGGCGGGAGCGTTGGTGGCTTTCTGAGCCTTCTCTACCATGCCCGAGAAAGGACTGGGAGTCTTGGGGATGAGGCGCTCGGCCATTGCTGGCTTCTTTCTGGGCCTCAGTTTTCCCAGGTATAGAATGAAGGGCGTTACTGTCACCAAGCTCCGGTGTTTCCTGATGCCCCACACACTGTATGCCCTGATTCAAGGTAGATACAGCTGATGAGAGGAAAGGGAGGGGGCCAGGGATATAGCTCAGTGGCACAAGTGCCTGCCTGGCAAGAGTAAGGTCCTGAGTTCGATTCCCAGTACCAACAACAACAACAAAAAAGACCAGAGGAAAGGGAGGGAGGACATTCCTGGCTCAGAGGAACAGAACATACGAAGATGGAGTAGCTAATGCCAGGGGGCAGGTGAGGAGAGGGTGGGGAAAACGTGGTGACAGTATTATTCAACGTCATTCGACAGGCCGGGCATGGTGGTGCCTGCCTGTAATCCTAGGACTCAGGGGCTGAGGCAGGAGAATCATTGTGAGTTCACCCGAGGCCCACCTGGGTTATAAAGTGAGTGTAAGGCCAGCATAGTGAAACTGTGTCTCAAAAAGGAAAAAAAAAGAGGCTGGGGATTTATCTCAGCGGCACAGCACCTGCCTGGCAAGCGCAAGGTCGTGAGTTCAATACCTGGTACCAGAAGGAAAACAAAAACAAACAAACAAACAAAAATCAATGGCCAACAACTATTTGTTTTATTTATTTTGTCTTTTTGAGTGGGAGTTTCCCTGTTTCCCTATGCAGTTCAGGCTGGCCTTGAACTCACTATATAACCCAGGCTGGCCTCAAACATGCAGCAATGGTCCTGACTCAGCCGCCCACGTGCTGAGATTACAGGGGTGTACCACTGCACCCAGCTTATTTATTTATTTAGAGAATTGTCCTGCTAAATTCCCCAGGCTGGCCTCAAACTCTTGATCCTCCTGCCTTAGCCTCCTCTGTAGCTGGGATCACAGGCATGCACCAACTCGCCTGGCTCTAGCTAACATTTATTGTGTGCTAACTATGCACCCAACGTGAACCTATGAACCTCACTTGCTTCATCTTTCAAGAGCTTAACAATAAGCCACTAATAATACCCTTTTTTAAATTTTTTTTTTTGTGAAGGTGGGTATGGTTGTGCACACTTGTAAACCCCGTGCTTGCGAGGCTGAGGCAGGAGGATCTCCTTGAGTTCAAAGGCAGCCTGAATTACCTACCAAGAGTCTGTCTCAAAAAAACAAAAGAAACAAACATTTTATTGAGACAATATCTCATAAGAAAAAAAAAAATCTCATAAGTTTGAGACAAGCTGCCCTGGAACTGTAGACCCTCCTGCCTCAGCTTCCCAAGTGGTTGAAATCATAGATGTGTATCATCATGCTTGGCTTAATTATACCCACTTGATAAATGAGGAAACTGAGGCCCCAGAGGAGAGGTTACCGGTCAGGATCACAGAGCTGGCAGCAGCATTGCTACAGTTTGGACCCTTTCAGGCCTGAACTAGAACCAGAGAGTGGTGTAGACCCACCCCCTTACTAACCCACTTGGCTGCATTTCCAGTGAAGAGGAAGGACATGAAAAGGTGTCTGAAGTTTGATGTAAACCTTCCTGCCCTCTGGGTGACATCGGGGGATGCCTGTCCCTTCCGTGCCTCGGTTTTCCAGACTGTGACAAGATCCTGCCGGACCTGTCCTTCCCATTAGATGAGCTGGGGGAGGCCCGGGCCCCGCGCTCAGGCTGCGCGGCCGCTAGGTGGAGCGAGGGGGCCAGTGAGACGCGGCGCCGCGATCGCGCGCTCCGGAGCCGCGGAGGCCGAGGCAGCGCGAGCGCAGGCCCCGCAGCAGCCCCGCGACCCCTCGGGCGCTCGGGCCAGGCTCAGGTCCGGAAGCTACGTCCCCGGGAGACGAGGGCCCCGCATCTGATTCTTGCGCCTGGCTATCCTCGCAGCGGAGCAAGTAGGTGGCCGGGGAAACTGAGGCAGGTCTCTTGCGCCGGGGGGTGGGAATGCTGGGCCCTTCTGAGCAGGAGCTGAGACAGAGGGAGCCGGTCAGGGCCCCAGGGACCCTGCCCACCCTGGAGGTCATCCCCCCTTCTGTCAAGGGAACCTGCAGGGGAGGGGATAGGACACAGGCTGCGGGGAGGGGACCTTCAATCCTAGGCTCAGCAGGGCAGCTTCCATTTGTTCCTTGGTTCATTCATTCATTCATTCATTCATTCATTCATTCATTCATTCATTCATCCAGGGATCACTTAGTGGACACTGACTATGGGTGCCTCAGACCTCCAGGCCAGCAGAGGAGGTGTCTCCACTCTGGGAGAACAGGCAGGGACAAGGAAGGTGCATCAGAGGCTGCACTTGCCCCAGGCCTCAGAAAGGCCATTCTGAGGGTCAGCAGCTCCAGTCCCCAACCCCCGGGCTCTGGGGCCAGAGGAGCCAGCCTCACCGGGCCCTCTTTCTCTGCTGCGCTCTCCCTCTCACCCGGGTCCCCGTGTGGGTTCAAGGTGCAAGGAATGGAGAACCCGGCCCTAACCCCTGTCCTCAATGCCACTTCTGTCCTGATTACCCAATTTCCTTGTCTTTGCAAAAAATCCTTAGCCTGGTGTGGTGGCGCACGCCTGTCATCCCAGCATTTGGGAAGCTGAGGCAGGAGGATCACTGCGAGCTTGAGGCCTGCCTGGGCTACATAGCAAGTTTGAGGCCACCTTGAACTATATAGACAGACTCTGTTTCAAAAACAAAACAGCAAAAACTGAAGAAGAAAGAAATCACTATTGCCCATGCCCCAGGACCTTTGCCCAGGTGGCTGCCTTCTCTTGACCGCCTGCCAGTGGCCAAGCCTCCTCTCCCGAAGCCTTAAGCTGTTTCTTGTTTGCTGCAGACAGATGAGCCACGACACAGCCGTGTGGAGCACGTCAGACCCTTCCCTCCGAAAGTCACCAGCAAGGACAGAGGAGAAAGGACTCTGCACACCCACAGAGTGAAAGAGCAACCTTCCCTGCAGACATGTGAGTGGCTGTTTTCCTTTGTTTGTTTCGGTTTCTTTCTTGCTATGTAGCCCGGGCTGGCCTGGAGCTCACCGACGTACTGTTTCAGCCTCCCGAGTGCTGGTGACTCTTGTTTTTCCTTATTGAGATGAAATCATGCCCTGTGAAGTCCACCTTTCTAAAGGTGGTTTTGGAATATTTATAGATCCGTGCAGCCTTCACTTCTGGCTCTAGAACATCCTGTTGTCCCAAAGGAAGCCCTGTCCCCGTGAGCGAGCAGTCACCCGTTCCCCTGCCCACCCTGGAACCCTCGAGGCCACTTCCTGTCTCTGGAGTCGCCCGTCCGGGGCATTTCCTGTCCATGGGGCCCACACTTGAGTCCTCTGTGTCACGGCGTCCCCAGTGTCTGTCCACACTGGTGCGAGTGTCACGGCCCTGCTCCTTTTATGGCCGAGTGATGTCCTATTGCGTGGGTGCCCCTATTATTTGTCTCACCCTCCTCTCCAGGAACAGGGTCAGGACCATGATTCCAACGCCCCCTTCCTCCCTCCGTACCTCCTTCCTTCCTTTTTTCCTTCCTTCTTTCCTTTGTCCCTGGGTTGTAACAGAGCCCTCCTCCACATGGCATGGGCTGTGGCCCAGTGTCCCCCTGGATGGAGATGTCCCCTGCTCCTGCCCTCCCCAGCAACAGGGCATCTGCCCCCTTCCGTTCCCTTGATCGCATATAGTATCTTACCAGCCCCGGTGCCCGCGTCCTGCCCTGGGTCGCTGTTGCCCTCAGGATTAATCTGCACTCTGGGGCATGGAGGCACCTTGCTGCCGGCCACTCGGTGACGCTGGGAGAGTCACAGACAGAGCCATGAAGGAGGCCCGAGTGTCCCTGCTGTCTGAGCAGAAGTGGGCACCTCCTTCCACTAGGGATGGGAACCCAACAAAGCCGGGACAATGGGAAGTGGGATTGGCCTCATTTTCTAGGTAAGCACATAGAAGCTCTGGAAGATTAAAAACCAAATCTGGCCCGGCTTGGTGGTGCATGTTATCCCAGCTATTCTGGGAGGCTGAGGCAGGAGGAGTGCAAATTCAGCCCAGCCTGGGCAGCTTAGTGAGATATTGCCTCAAAATAAAAAAGGACTGGGGATGTAGGTCAGTTTGAAGCCCCGGATTCCATCCCCAGTACCACGAAATCATCATCATCATCATCATCATCATCAGGACTCCAGGCTGTTCCAGAAGGGAAGAGCCCTTGTGGGCGGCTCAGAGGCCCTGCTGCTATTTCCTGCCTCTGAGGAGGTGGGGACAGTCATTACAGGAGACCTCTGAGATGTGCATCGACATTGACCTCCTAATAGGGGGTCCTCAGGACCCTGGCTCAGCCCAGGTCAGATATAAAGGCCCCCTCTTCCCCTGGGCTGTTTCTCTGCCCCCCACCATAATAGGATTGGGACTTTTGAAGTTAATAGGAAACGGGGCGGCTCCCACATACAGAATCCGGGCAGCAGGGCTTAGAGGGGCCTTTGTGAGCCTGGCTGGGCCCTTCCTGCCGCCGGCCAGCGGTGATTAAAGCACCATGAAATCCACGATGTCAGCATGCCCCAGCTGTGACAGGCGCTTGCTTAAAGAAAAGAAGGGGGAAAATCCCTGCATAGTCACGTATGTGCGTATGAACATACATGTGTGCAGCGCTCGGCTGAGGCACGTAGCCCCTGCTGCAGATGCCAGGACAAGAGTCCTTTTAGCAGCTGGGAGTTTGAGGTGTCTGCCCCAGGCCTGGGGGCCACATAATATCTGTCACCCAGAATGAGGAGTCCTGCCCAAGGGTGACTGATCTGGGCTTACATTCCTATGACAATGGGGAGCTCACCTCCTAGCAAGGCTTCCTGGCCCCAGGTGGAGCTGCACCTTCCAACGTCACAGAGGAAGTGTGAATCAGGCAAGAAGGAATGCAGTGTTTTTGTTTTTTTGGATTTTTGAGACAGGAAACCATGTAGCTCAGACTGAGACATGGGCGTGGCTGTAAGGGATGTTGCGTGCTTGTCCCTGCTTGCATGCTCCTGCACACGGGGCCTTCACCACCATGCTGCTAACCTTCGGGCAGGGCTGGCATGGTGAGTGGTCCCAAGCCCCACCATTCTCAGATGCAGGAAGAGGTTTTTTTTTTTGGTCTTTTTAAGACAGGGTCTCGTTTTGCAGTTCAGGTTGGCCTTGAGCTCACTTTGTAGCCCAGGCTGGTCACGAACTTGCAACAATCCTCCTGCCTCAGCCTCCTGAGTGCTAGGATTACAGGTGTGCACCACCATGCCTGGCTGGTGGTTTTTTTTGTTTGTTTGTTTTGTTTTTTCCTTTTATTCTACTGTATATGGAACCCATGGTTTTGTACTGAGCTATATCTTCAGCCCTTTTCTATTTTGATAAGTCACTAAGTTACCCAGGTTGGGTGTGAACTTGTCATCCTCCTGCCTTAGCCTCCTGAGTAGCTAGGATGACAGGTCAATGCTACCATATCTGGCCAGAAAGGTGCCTTTGCTTCCGTGGTCTTGCATATGGGGGTGACATCTATGTGACCTTCTACCCGGCCCTGCTGGCCCTGGGGAATGGTGAATGGGTGATAGAGGTGGGGGTGGGGCCTTGGGTCCAAGAGGGAAGGGGCAGAAGTCATGGAGGACTCAGGAAGGCTGAGGGGACATGGGGAGGGGAGACAGAGAGATGGAGAGATGGTGACAGAGATGGGGATGCCATGGGACCCTACAAGGGTATAAGATGTCAGCCTTCATCTCAGAGGTCCTGGGGCATCCATGTCATCTTTGGGCCTGGGTAAAGGCAGGGAGATGCCAGTGGTTAGGGCCCAGAGGCCGCTTGCTTCACTCCAATACGACTGATGTCACCACCACCAGCAGCAGCAGCAGCAGCTTTATTACTTTGGTTTTTTGAGACAGCTTCTCACTATGTAGCCCTGGCTGAATATTCACTGTAATCCTCCTGCCTCAGCCTCCCAAGTGCTGGGATGACAGGCATGAGCCACCGTGCTCAGCTGACTGGTGTCATACATGTGCATTTATGGAACACCAGCTGTGTGCTCTGGGTGCTGGGAGGAAGCATCAGGGAAACAGCCCTGCAGCCTGGGCCTCAGTTTCCCACTCTGGGCAGGGGCGTAAGTGGGCGGCTTCAGGGGCCAGGAAATTCATCTCTCCGAGGTGCCTGGAGTGGTGCCTGGCAGAGTCAATGTGCATTAAGTGTCTGAAAATAGAATAGAGTCAAATAAAAATAAAGCCAGAGCTGGTGCCTGGCCTTGGTGCTTCCAGGAAATGAGCTAGAAAGAACCGTCTGTCCGTCTGTCATCTTTGTCTCAGAAGGTCCTAAGGGAGCAGGCAGAGGACTTCCTGGAGGAGGTGTCATTTGAGCTTTGGGCAGGAGAGAAAGATCCAGCTGTCCCTCAGAGACGCTGTTGTTGGGGCAGAAGGACCTGTGAATGCGGAGGCCCTGAGCCTGGATGGAGTTCAGCATACGTGGCTGGGTAGGGGCAGAGAGGAGGCCGCTGACCCAGGGTTACAGGAATGAGTCTGACTTTCATTCTGAGGGCCTGTGAGAGCCACAGCAGAGTTTGTAGCTGGGGAGGAGCGAGATCCAAACACGGTGTGCTCCAGGGGGAGGGCAGGGAGGGCTGCCTGGAGTGGGAAGGTGTTCCAGGTAGAAACTAACACAGTGCTCGGCTTCAGAGGAAACCTTTCTCTCCAGTGCAGCCCTCCCATTCTGGTACTGGGGATGGAACCCTAGGGCCTGCTCACGGAGCTACCTCCGCTGCCCCTTTTTTATTTTTTATTCAGAGACAAGGTCTAAGTAGGCCAGGCTGGGCTCAAACTTGTGATCCTCCTGCCTCAGCCTCCTGAATGCTGGGGATGACAGGTGTGTGCCACCAAGCCCCACACCTGCTCTCTTTTTCTCACTCCTTTTTTTCTCATCACGGGTTGCGAAGTTGCAGAGCAGGATGTTGAATGCTGCTTCCTGGGCCTGGCTGTCCGGGGAGCCGGGTGCCCGCTCCCGCTGCTCGGTGGCTCCAGCCTGGCATAGCCGCTCTCCTCCCTCGCAGGGAGGATCTTGTCCAACCCAAGCGCCCAAGGGCGACCTCGCTGGATGCCCCCCAACACCACAGCTCCACAAGGCTGGAGGCCGGTGCCTGGAGCAACCCTTTCCTGCACCGGCCTGGCCATGCCCTGACGGGTGGGGGGGATCAGCGCTCTTTTCCTCTGCAGAACAGATGGAGAAACAGGCTGAGGCTCTGCACTGAGTCTAGGGGTGGGAATCCGGACATCCACGGTTCCCAGCCCTGGACTCCAGAGCCTGTGCGCGAAGCACCCGTTCCCTGGACGCTACCTTAAGTTTAGGAATTGAAATTCTGGACCCGTGCGCGCCCCGCAGAGAAATCCATAATGCATTGTTTAGGCAGATGCCTTTAAACCGCTCCGCGGCAGGGGGGGCGGTGGCGGGGAGGGGACCGCTTTGGGAAGGTCACCTTTTTTTTTCCTGCACAAAGGTCAGCTGCAGACTGTTGCCAAGGCAACGGCGGCTTAAAGATGGAAGCTTAAGGAGAACAGAGAGTCCCCTCTCCGGAAGGCGCCCTGCGCCAGTGCGAGGGCCCCGCTACCGGCTGGAGTTTTGGGGGCCAGGGCCCGAGCACAGTGGCGAGGGGACTTGGTCCCCGTATTGCTTTGGGGGCTGCTGAAAGGGTAGGCGGATCACAGGGCCGAATCTGGTCCTCACTGGCTGAGGTGTGTTGGGCTGTGAGCTGCAGCTGCGTCCAACTCGCGCTCCCCAACCAGGGACCCAAGGATGGCCCTGGAGCCGCCTGGCAGAGCCCTCAGGTCTGTGGGAGACCCGACTGAGGTGCTGGTGGTGAAGACCCCAAGCCCAGGATGGACGGTGCAGGATGGGATTCTGGGTCAGTCCTCCCCGGCCAGGGCTGGACACGAGCTGCTGTCTGCTTTGGAGATGCGAGCCTTCCACTGTTCCAGATTTTCAGTAGTTGC